TTCCAAAAACTCGACATCATTATGAGAGACAACCTAGATGAGTATTCTGAAAATTTCGATCCCCCGGGTTAAAATCCAGGAAGCGAACATGCGGCCGCGGGTGAGCCATCGAGTAGTGGGGTGGACCAGTGAAGTGGTAGTACATTGACTTTCAGCGTCACGCCTACTTTCTATTAAAAAAAAAAAGAAGCAAACTGGCTTAGTTGGTGATTGAACTAATGCGTAGGTAGTTCTGAACGAGTTGTCAGCACCCTTTCGGGATGTTCTCTTCCCAGTAAAATTGTTTTAAATGTGTTGGATAGGTTGGAAATGTATTATCCGAATTATTTTAATGTGACACTTTATTACTTGTAAACTTTATTTGTCCAGCAATAGAGTTCAAACATTTCATTTGTAACATAGTGCACTGCTTCTGGAGTTTCTTCTTACTAATTGCCGAACGGAAAGCCTCTTCACAGTGTCCAGCTACATATACGACGTGCTAGCATATTTGACAGCAGTGTAATAGAATCACGAAGTCTTCTTGCAGCCGTGCTGCAAATGCATCATTTAGGGTTTCCGTCAGATCGATGTGAGGAAGAATTTATGAATTAAAAATTAGCCTAAAAGGAGTGACTTCACAGTAATATACACTTTAAAAGTACTTTAACGATAAACGATCTTAAATACCAAGGCATGCACACCTTCGTTGATTACAGAAAAAAAAATCATCTTCTATCTTTATAGACGCTTCACTGCAGTATATTATTGACATGCAGCAAAGATGCAAATACGTGTGAAACTCTGCAGTGAAGCAGCCCTGCGAGCCACAGTGTCGAAAGATAATGGGTAGATAAGACGCGGCCAATGGAGCGATAATGATGCCATTGCCGACGGTGGTGCTCACAGGCAAAACGAAGTACAAAGCTACCTACTCAGCTTGAAATTTCCTTGCTGCTGTCTACATTGACATGTTCAATAACATTTTTAGTGGACATTTAGCGCCACCTACTATGCTGTTTGCCAAACCCCTCACCGAAATTGCGGCCTCAGAGACGAAAAGGCAGGGTCTGCCGTTCACGGCCGCTATCAGGCAGACATGGGCCGAAACAGTGCGCGTAATAAAATTATACAGATTTGATCTACAACAAGTTAAAAAGTACAACTGAGAACGATGCTCTGTGTCCGAAATATGTGTCAGAAAAATGAAAACTAAGCTCCATGTTAGCCCGAAATGTGCTAACAGTATAGAAAACAATACGACACACGTGGGCGCTATGAGCCTGTTATGAAGGGATCGTTATGGACATGCACCTGGGAAGTCTGCGAGTGCAGTACGCGGCAAAAGGTTGACAGTATCAATCACACTGCACGCATGGTAACTTAGCTCTGTTATGAAGATTGACCGCTTGCCCAGGTATGAAAAAATTCTATATCGCAAGAGAACACAAGAAACAACAATCACAAGTAGGCGTATCTCATGCATATTTGAGTAAACGTGTTTTGTCAGTCTGAATCGCATGCGTAGTTTTTGCGAAACAAGCCGCCTATTTTGTTTTCGGTTGCAGCCCTTGTGAACCAAGTCAACGCAGCTCTTACAAGCAAGCCCTTCGTAACACTTAACTTTGGGAGAGGCCTTAATAACATGAAGTGCTCGGCAACTATCTTTCTACTTTTCGAGCTCGTAGTACTCAAACTTGCCAGATCGAAAAACTATCAAAAATGCCCCGTTGATGCGTTCTTCGATGACTTTAATGACTGCGAAGGCAGTGTTTTTTGGGCTGTAATATAAAAAAAAAAAGGTTCTCAAAAAAGAGTACAAAGGGCTAGTCACCGCAACTTGTTGAACCAAACATTGTCCATCGAGTCGCTTCGGGGAAGCACGCTCGCATGCTGTTGAACTTTTAAGGCGAGATGGTCCGCTGTAGCACGTCACCACACCAAAGCAGAAAACCAAAACCACTTTTGTTGAGACCGCTGCCTCGACCAATTAAAAGCCCCGTGAAGAGCACACATTTCTAAGTATGAATTCCTACCTACTCGATGAAGTTTCTATTCTGATGCAACTTCGTAAGGAATGATGTCACGGAATAGAGTTGACGCCCTCTTTAGATTACCACTTGATATCACAGTGACGTCCCTAGATTGTCACGCCTTTCTGCCTAAATTATCACACTTTTATCTTTATTCTGCCTTGCTATTTTTGAATGTTTCAAAGACGTTCAACAGTACGATAAATAGGACAAAAAATAATTAAATTTACTTTGAGGGCATCTGCTTAAAGTAACAGCGAGCGCAAGCAAACAACCATCAAAATTCGAGCCATCTCGAGGCAGAACTAACATGAGCTTCTAGGAGATAGGCTGTAAAAAGGAACACAAAACAACTTGCGTAAAATGCACTTGTTGGCTAGTTGGTTTGCCATACTCAGCGCTTGTGTCGTCTTCCTCGTCTTCCGTGTTGTTTTCCCTTTGTGTACTGCCATTTATCGTTAACACAAAACAAGTTAGTGTTGATTTTTTTCTTATATTCAGAACCTTACCGCGAACTTAACACAAACAGCATTCTCAAAGAACGCGTCTGTATACGTGGTGAATGTGCCATTCGGTATTAATGTTCCTTCTTGCACTTAATAAGTTGCACTTTTTCCTTTCAAAACGTGCCGAATGGAGCCCACGCATAGAAACAACGCTTTGGAGGAACTAGTCGTAGATTTCGCGGTCACGATGAATTATTTCGCTTTAGGAAGAACACTGTGAGAGCAGAGCGGCAGCTATCAATTGCAGCTTTTGTAAAACCAGTAGAGCACGTGACCGTGACGAAGTGAATAGCGGGCCCGGGATCACTTGTCGAGGATCAAGAGGTCGCAGATAAGAATCGTGTTGACCGAATTTCGTAATTTGAAGTGCACGTTTTTTGTCCATCATTTCTGTGGCGGATATACGTCACTGAAGTCCTTTGTGGACTCTGGTATAAAACCCTCTCGTGTTACACGAGGAAAACTTCTCTCCATACATTACGCCTGTTAACGAAATCAAAACGTTATTCCGTGTCTAACAGTTAGTTAGTGCTTCGTGACTGCACCAATATCATCTGTCGCATTAAATTTCTTGCACTGCATCTTACTCGGAAAAATTCTGAAAGCACACCTTGTTTTGAACATTGCAGCATAAACAAATTCAGAAGCCCGCTACTATCACTGTCACTATCGTCGTAAAATTTTTGAATGCGAGAGAATCTTGTGACTACAAGACGAATGATGGGCAGAAATTTTCGTGGCAGTGCGACCATTAGGAATGAGATACAGTGCATACTTTCCTCTGCTGTGAAACGTTGTGGTACGATTCGATGGAAAGCCCGTGATGACGGTTGGCTGTGATGTTTTCTTACCTTCCTTTCCTGCTCTAGAAATGTTTAGCCACTTCCCTGCTGAAAAACCAGTGCGCCCGGTCACGAGCACACACTGCACCTTGAATCTCCATTGGTAGCCAGAAAGGGGACGTGGTATACAATACAAGCTCCGTATATAAACAGCGCGCAACATCACTTGACATGTACATTGTACACAGCCTGCGCATCTATTACTGCTTTTCAGCGCGTTTAGTGCACTACATAAGAAGAAGAAAAACAAAGGCTTCCTTTGCTAGACTCTTTTATTCTCAAAGGTACATTACAGAAAGCAATCTTGTGTTTATGGTTGTTCAAGATGCTGTACTTGCACTATTTGTAGAATCTCGCATTTTCCGCGGAACGATGAGCAGCAACAAAACACCGTTTTAGCGAAGCTGAAAAACGGTACAAGAAAGAACGCTTTTCATCCTCAAGACGCGACAGTATGCCGCATTAGGGAGCCGCATACGCAATTTGAGATGATATCTAAGGTCAATGCACTACTTCCTATGTGCTCATATCTGTCCGCAGTTGAGAGAAAGAGAGAGAGAGAGAGAGCAGTCGGCATGCGGCAGCTGATAATGTGTTGCATACATATTAAGCCCAGCGGTCTGGTGTTCATGTGACTTGCGTATACTTTGAGCCGCTGTTGACCCTCGGGGGCAGTGAAGCATTCGGGCGATGAGGTTGCTTGCGGATGTAGTGGGTCAGGTATAAGGCACGTCGGTCCAGCAGACGTGACTAAATCTTATGAGCGTCAGCTATAAAAGCACCCGCATGGGCAGATGCAACATGATGAGTGGTTTTGGCTTGTTAGGTAAAAGAGCTGTTGGCAGAAATAAGATAAGTTAATCTTTGTTAACTGCTCCATATCTGCAGTCTCTTGCAGCACCCGCATGACTTGTTTGGTTCCTTTGTGACCTTGCCCAACTGATTTCGGAGAAATGAGCCGTGAATCGGGTGGTCTTTCCGTTGACAACAAAGAACGAATTTAAAAAAAAAAGAACGTAAGTTACTAAGTTTGAGATGGTAAGGAATAACTGGAAGTTGTACTAAATGACGAGCAGTGATTAAAAACTTTTCATGTCTTTTTAGCTTATGCACACATCCGTTCAGATAGCACGCCTTGTTGAAGAACACCTGGGATATGCAACGCAAGAAACTTGCGGCACAAAGTATGTGCGTTTGCTGTGAAATGGTCACACATTACTTGTTCTGCGCTGCTCGAATTTACTTGGGATGTTAGCGGAAGCGATGCTGACGTAATGTGGGTAATGCGTTGCATTACCGACTAGCAAGAAAGCCGTTTCTCGCCCACTTGTGCGATTTCGGAGAAGAAGTTACAAAATTAAAAAGATAAAGTGAAAGCTGTGTTTATAAATTTAAACGTACTTATACTAGAGCAGCCTGAATGTTCAACTGAATGTTCAACTGAATACTGAATGAGTACTGAATGTTCAACTGAATAAATGCGTTTACGTTCGTGTTCTGCAGACATTCTCTCGATAGTGTGACTCATACTTCTGTGCTTAGATGTGGGGCATGTCAGAGTGGTTCACAAAATGAGAACTATAGCATAACTTGGTCGTTTGATGCGTGTGTCTGTACAGTGCACAATGAAGAGCAGCGACTTCAGATAGTCTCACGTATTTATTCTTTTGTGTTTGTACGTGAGCAAAACAGCATCGTCTATTTTATGCCCTTAGTTCAGGGGCGCGCTGGGTACCAGCGTAAGCATCTGAGTTGTGTATTTTCTCAGTAGTAAATTAAGTGCGAGTGCACCCGCCCTTAAACATTTCTGCAATTGAAGTTCAGTGATTAATGTCCTCATAAATACTCTGTGAATCAGATGTGAACGACAGAAATTTGCACATATTGGAAATCCGTGTGGCGCACAACGCTGGGTAGAATCATCTGACACTCGCAAATTCATGATACACTAGTCCTTCATCATGAAGGGAAAGAAGTGCCGCACCGTTGAAGCCATCTTGAATTAGTTTAATCACTCCTTCGGCGACTTTCTCAGGTCTGAAAAAATATATGAAGAAAGGTAAAACAGACTGTGATTATATATGCATGAATGAAACTTTTTGGTCAAGAATAAGAAGTTTCTGTATAACAAGCAAACAAAAAATACGGGATACAAACAAAGAGTTACTCTTATGATAGCTCCGAAACCTAGAAATGGTAGGTTACATTGTCATCCACGAAATTTTAGTTTATTTTGGGTCTACATGTACAGACACAAATTTTTCTTCGAGAAAAACTGCTATCCAATTGTTCAAACACGTACCGTTTGTATTGCTTCACAAACTATGCTCGCGCAATTAGAAGTCTACAAGTTTAGTTTTTAATATTTCTTTGCAGTTGCTGTGTTGTTATCAGGGTTGCTATGTTTATTTTCAAAATTTTTAATTGATGTGTTTTGTTGCTTTTTTTAGTTCACATCGCTGACTGTTTGCCACTGCTGTCGTGCTAAAAGGTGACTGTGGGTCTTTGTCAAGCTGCCTCTTTCGGAGAGAAGCTTTTACCTGCAGCTGCCTTTCATTAAACTACCAATGAAAAATAAAACATTATTCTTATTATTAATATTATTATTATTAATAATATTATTATTAGTAACAAAGATAGTTTATGTGATACAGTATGAATTCCGAAGTATTAGATCCATGCGCCAAATACAAAAGTGCCCATGGCCTGTATACATTGAAGGCAAAGTTATTATGGCGTTGAAGTTGTCCATTGAAAATTTGCTTATCACACATCACGACAATCCACGGCGTGGTGGAAGTTGTAGTGGGCATAGTGGGTGACTTGTGCTCCTCTTAAAAGTGAGAGAACTTTCCACGTGCCTAGAGCTGACTATTCTGAAGCGAGACTGAGGGAGAGCACTTAATCATATCAAAAGATGCACGGGGTAGGTGCGTGCATCTTATGAATAATGCCAGGTTAATTAAACGTCCAGCATAACACACTACATCAACCTCGCCTAAACACTTAAAATACACACAATTAGATTGTGAACACTTCGTCCTATGGATGATTACAGCAATGAGCATTGAGCACATGACAAAATTCTAACATGGTATTGCTGAAAAGTCACATATATTTCACTGCTGATCGAAATTTTGTGCCATTGGAATTCTGACATATGCAATGAAGCAATCTGTAAAAACATTATTTTTGTTTGAACGTCCACCCAAGTTCACCAGAAACGTCGAAAGAACGCTTTAGATGATATTGAATACTTAGTTGCACTTTAGCAAAGAGCATTGGCATTGCAAAACGCAGCGTAATAAGAATAATATGTGAGGTAATCTCTTCATTTTGTGACAGTTGTGTGGCAATGGTTACAGAGAATGTTTGAAAGGTTGGATTGCAATTCTGAACACAGTTAGGATTACATTGGCGTACATTGGCGTACACTATCGGTCTAAAGAATGCTCTGAGGCTCCTACGTTTAGGAGCTGGTCGGTATGAGATCGTTTCAGATAAAAGAGAAAAGGGGCGATAACTTACATTTTGCGCATGACTGAACGTTTCAGAGACGTTTCTGAAGAAGCAAAAACCTGCACTCAATATTGCTACACGACTTAATGCGTCTTTTGAGCGCAGTGATTCAGCGGTTTTCATTTGGGGAGTTGAGGAAATGCGCGCGTATTAAGGTGACGCGGTGCGGTGCAAGCGTAAATATAGAAGTGCTCGGATATTGCAGTCAACTGCAACAAGGGAAACTTGTCGTCACTAGTAGTACTCGTAAACGTCGTCAACTTCCACCATCACTGACTGACGTGAACGCTACGCTGGACTGGTATAACAGTCCGTCACAAGGTTACACACTCGAAATGTTCCTTCCACCTATGCGTACGTCCTGTTCTCCCAAGCTTACCCGGTCAACCCAGTTTCTTTAGCCCGGCCGCGAGATGCATGCGTTGTGCTTGTCATAGGAAGTACGGGCATTCGCAAGGCATAGATGCTAACGCAGTCTCTAGCGGGCTCTCATGGTGGCAAACTCCTCTGCGGCTGTATTCTGTTCACTCCTTCCGTCCTTGTTAAGCTGTATTCACACGACGAAAGTAATCGTCAATGGATCAATCACGTGACGTATGACGTGATTCTGATTCCTTTTGCAGCCAGCATTCATACGACGGGGGAGAATTCGCGATACAAGCGAGCAGTTTCAGCATAGATTTCCGAGGATCCCAACTGTGAATCGGGCTTTGGTTGTTTCACGAAGCACTCCGCGAAGACCGAAGTAAGGATGCGAGAACGGGTGACGTATGTTGACGTAGTACGCGATCCCCGGAATCTAATAACGATTTCGTTCGTCGTGTGAAGACAGCTTAGCTTTATCGGTTACGCGTACAATGACGACGGCGCTCAACGCAGGAACGAGCACTTAGGGAGTTGCGCTCGGAAATGCCACTCATAGCGCATGGATCATGCAAAACTGTTGCAGTTTTCCCACCTTTGGACACCACTGCTGTAGTTCTCTGTGATGTAAGGTGTGTTTAGGGCTATTTCCTGACAGAAAGTGGTTATGCCACGCCACAAGTCTGTCTCCATGGGTTCAGGGCACAGGCAGCTCACTTTCACTCCCGTGCGGGAATAGTACAGATCAGTCTGCAAATATAATGATTGAGAATGACAAAATATTTGATCGGCTATGACTAGTTAGAAATGGACTAGAAAACTGACTTGCGTTAAGCAGGCTTACAACAGTGTTTATCTGTATTATGCTAGTGTTTTGTAGTATTGGTTCGCTCCCACGTTTGCTACTGATATATACCACATAAAGTTGACGGTTGGATAGCTGCCATAGTAGCTCAAGTGGTAGAGCCTTGAATGCTTTATTCCAAGATCGCAGGTTCGTTCTCTGCTCACGGCAGGTTATCTCTTGGTGCCCTTTTTGTATTCTTCAAATATACATTACAAGTGTTTCTAATATACCCCTAATCCTTTCCTGGACATTATTTTTGTTCGATATCATTAAGAGGTGACATCAGTAATATATGCGTAAGGACACAGAATAACCCTTAAATATTAACAGATTTGACAGTACTAGTAGGTAAAACAAATGTGCCATGCTTACCCCAAATGCCCTTGTGAGTCCGATGACGCCGTACTTGGATGCGTTGTAGGCAGGTATGGGAGGGCAGACTATTAATCCTGAAAGGCAAGTTTACGTCCTAAATGCTCAATCTAGATGTTCCACAGGGGATCTTGTTCGACTGTGCAAACATTTCCAGCGACTTTACTGCTTTAAATACGCGATACTCGAAACAAGCCTAAGAGTGTCTCTGCTCGCTTGTGTCGCCGGAACGGCTTTCGTAACCGTCGGTGCACGACTAAAGTTCTCCAGTAGTAAGGCATAATGCGAAGTCATCGGTGCAAATAAATAAATAAAATAAATAAACAAAACGATAACCAATATATTTTCTTGCACGTGTTTTTTGAAATATCGTAATCACAATGATTACTTTTAATAACGAAGGGGGTTGTTTATTAGGCAACAGAAACATAGCTGGAATTTCTGTTGGAATAATGATTTGGTTGATATGTAGGGTTTAACGTCCAAAAACCACCATATAATTATGAGAGACACCGTAGTGGAGGGCTCTGGAAATTTGACCACCTGGTGGTGGTCGAAGTTATTATTTATTTATATTAATATATTAATAATATTAAAACACGACGACAAAATAAAATAGGGAGGAAACAGGCTGACAACTGCCATCCACAGGGACACAACACCTGCGTGCTCTCCTTCGGGAAGGGGAGACACAGAGGAAAGAAAGAAAGGAACTTAGAAAAAGAGAAAGAAGAGGAATTAAAAAAAGCAAACAACATAAAGAAGAAGCCCACGCATAAACACGAAAATACTCGCATGAAGAAGTGTCTATAAACGCGAGGTCAAATCTGTTTTCTTTAGGGAAAGTTAACAAGGCTCGATTTCGCCTGCTCACGGCCTGATAACCACGTGGCTAGAAGCCTAGCATACTGATAATTGCTCCGGTCCTATATCTGTTTCTCATACTGCACACGCATTTAATCTCCCACCTTCTGGCAGTTTTCTCACAGAAAACCTAAGGAATCAGGGCTAAATGCGCGAGCATATGCCTGACTCACGCGCGTACTCCTGCACAATCAGTGCTCGGCAAGTGCTATAATAGAAGAAACAGCTTATGTAGACACTAAACACATGATCGAGTAACGAACACAAACAAGATGAGTAACCTTAGTGAAATAATTTACATCAGTGATGGAAGTAGCTCAAGGAACAATACGACATATTATTCCACCTGCAGCCGTTTGTACTGGCAGCAACCACATACAGGATTGTCAATGATGACAGGCACGTGTGCTTGCGTAAAAACATTTCATCACGTACCTGCGATAGATGCGACGTTGATAACGTAGCCACCTTCTCCACCTCTGTCCTTTCCCATATATTTTAGCGCCAAGAGGGTTCCGAAGTACACTGCCATCTTGAAGATAATATGTCAAGCAACCACAAAAAAAGTGTCAATAGGCATACTTAAAACGTATTCAGAGTTAATAAAGGTTACTGTGGTACTCTACTTTATGCGGTACTCTACTTCAAGCGTGCCTAGCTTCTCGTATAATATGGTGTGTACTTTGGTGCCCTAAAGAATGGGACAGTTAGAGATGTGGAAAATTGGGGAAGTTCTGAAGACATCAGACGTTCACTCAGGGACGCTAGAGGCGTCGCGAGGGTTTATATAGAGATTATTCATTTAAGTAAAGGTATAGCTATCAAAGTTTAGTGAATATTCATTCACTAAAGCCGAACAATAATCATATTTGAATGACAAAGCTGTTTGACTTTCATCTATTTAAAAAAAAATATTGTAAAGAATTACAGACTTGAATTCTGTGGGCTTGTGCTTTGTCATAGAAGATATATATATATATATATATATATATATATATATATATATATATATATATATATATATATATATATATATATATATATATATATATATATATATATATATATATAAATATATTCCTTGGCATTACTGTCTGTTATATCTCATACTATTGTGTTAAAACACGGAAAAACGAGCCCTTAGGTATACACTTCTTTCCCTTATATATATATATATATATATATATATATATATATATATATATATATATATATATATATATATATATATATATATATATATATATATATATATATATATATTATATATAGGATATGGCACAACGGGAGCGTTGTCAACAAGGATAAATATATTTATTTCCCAACAGTTTCGGGAGGGGTCCTCTTTTCATCAGGGCATGAGTATAACTCATTTTTAGATTGACGAAGTGCACTCTGGGAGCTCTAATGCCACATGTGTAACTATCGGAAAAGCGAGGCTGATGTTCTATTTTTAAATTTCGAGCAAAAATTTCTGCGCGTAACGCAAAAACTTAAATGTGTATTTTGCGCAGTTTCACGACATGGTCTCACTGAAAAGTTCTGAAACGTTTTATGCTGGCCCTATGTCGTCCATATATGACGATCCATTTTGTTTTTATCAATTCGAAGCTAAGCAGGGTGCAACATACGCCCCCGAAATCTATGTCGTCATGGCATTTGGTTTGGGAATCTCAGGTTGCCGTCTCCGCTCATACGTTCTTTTTTGCGCCTTTCCACGCTTACGAAGTGTGGCGTCATGGTAAGAGTGGCGTTTTCGGGATTATGAAATTACACTTTAATAATACGCGAAAAATGGTTTTGCTCTTTAGTGTCCTTTTATGGCTTCCCAAACCATGTTCAATAATTATGTTTCCTCTGACGATCAATTTCAAATCTTGAGGGTTTTTGCGAATTCGGGTCTAACTTCTCGGATGACAGAACCCTTTTCTAGTGCGCTTACATCAACGTCACACGTACAAAAAGCAACGCAGAAACCAACGCATTCTCTTACACATATGGAATAAGCTACGCAGCTTCGAAGATCAAGCTACTTACCGTGTTTATCTCAAATATCCTTCGCCACCGTTCTTCACCGGCGTAACCGGCGTTGTTGACCACAATGTCCAAGCGTCCAAATTTCTTCTTCACACGAACGAAACAATCTTCCTTACACAAGGAAATGGAGCAATGTCAGTTAATGGTCCTATAGTTATGTTCCTCATTATTTATGACATGTCTCTGCGAACAAGTGTAATCATCCTTGGTGTTTCCGAACGATGCATAAATTGTGGTGTGTGCCAAGGTAGTTAGCGACCCAGGTTCTCTGCTAAGGCGTGCTTGACTCACTCCCACCCCACTCCATCCGCACCTCGCGTTTTTGTGACAGCATTTCGACGAAGACAAGATAGGCCCATGAATAATATAATTTGGGGGTACATGCAAGGTGCGAAGGTGGCGAAAATCACTGCGTCGTCACCTAGTAAGGCAAGCCTCGTAGCCGTATGCTGGTGTTGGTGCAAAACATGCAAATAAATTTTAACTAATTATGACCTTCGGTTAGAAAAAATCTACTCGTATTGCAGTGATGACACCGACGGTACAATACGATCCGGCGTGAGAAAATGAAACAAACAGTATTTGTGCCTCTGTTATTTGTCGAAAGAAACAAACACATACCTTCGAAGGCTTCATCGTTAGTTACGTCACATTTCATGAATATGACGCGGTCCTCTCCATATGTTTCTTTGAAGGTACGCTCCGTGCCCAATCCAACACGTTCATTCAAGTCAATGAATGCAACCTGTGAAATGACAGAGGAGCATGTTGACTTGTGTAAACACATGGCCATGCGTAGCCGAATTATTTGCTTACGTAACAACGTGCCGCAGTTGGAGGCTACATCTAAACTAGTGATAGTATGCAGTCTTGTGAAAATTGTTACTAAGACATTCGGGAACTGCTGACATGTGGCATAGAAGATCCTAAAATGAAACCATCATCATGCTTACATAACGCTTAGTTTCCAGTAATACTTACTCCAAGTTTCCACTAATAGTTAACTTTATTACAATAATTGTTACATAAATTTTCTCTGCGCCAGAATGAGTTTCTCACCGGCACGTCCATCAGATATCGAATGACACTGCTAAAAATGTTCAACTTGCATAGCACTACTATATGTTTCAACACATTGGAAGTGTCATTCCTTGCATCCGATTTCGCACGCACTTTATTTTTGCAGCACTATTGAGTTGTTTATAATTGCTTCATTGCTACTGCTAAGAATGTAAAACATTTTAGAAGCCTAAACAGAGATCCTTTAGGTTAACAAAGAGGAACATATGCCATGCAAATTCTGATATTCATGACAGTATACCAAGCCTATATGACTCATTGGTGTCCTGTGCAAATACTTAATCTTTGTCCAGGTTTTAACTCACAATAATAAAGGTGATGCAACATAATACCTGCAGAAAATAGGCGCCTTCCTCACAGACGGCAGAATACTCTGACCCGCCAAATAGACATAACAGACTTCACCTTCAATAGCACAATTAAAACCTTTCTTTCAGCATTGGACGAATGCTTGCTTTAACTAAACTACATCAGGTACTGTGCGCCATGTTACTTGTACAAATATCTATGAAAACTGAAGAACTCCCCTTTTCGGTTAGACTATCAGATCTTCTCCTTGAAACCCTATCACAAAGGACTGGTAATTGAGTTTGGCATCGTTGAAAACATGAACACGTAAAGATGTAATATGTGCCAGGAAATGAGGCATAGAACACTGTGGTTAACATACTCAGCAACAAAGGCGCTAGTTTATTGAAGGTGCGGAAAGGCAACTGCGTTACACGAGGTATTCACATGACCCCGGCCACATTCTCTCAGAACAAGCACAGGCAAAACTCAATGCGTCTTTCTGCACTTTTATCCACCCAAAGGAGCTTGCTTACCCCGCCACGGTGGTCTAGTGACTAAGGTACTCGGCTGCTGACGCGCAGGTCATGGGATTGATTCCCGGCTGCGGCGGCTGCATTTCCGATAGAGGCGGAAAGGTTATAGGCCCGCGTGCTCAGATTTGAGTGCACGTTAAAGAGCCCCAGGTGGTCGAAATTTATGGAGCCCTCCACGACGGCGTCTCTCATAATCATATGCATGTTTTGGGACGTTAAACAACACGTATCAATCAATAAATTAACCAATCAATCAATCAATCAATCAATCAATCAATCAATCAATCAATCAATCAATCAATCAATCAATAAATCAATCTATCAATCAATCAACCAATCAATCAATGATATGTGGGGTTTAATGTACCGAAACCACCATATGATTATGAGAGACGCCGTAGTGGAGGGCTCCGGAAATTTCGACCACCTGGAGTTCTCTAACGTGCACCCAAATCTGAGCACACGGACCTACAACACTTTCGCCTGCATGAGAAATGCAGCCGCCGCACCCGATATTCGATCCCACGACCGGTGGTTCAGCAGCCGAGTACCTTAACACTATACCACTGCGGCGAGGCAATCAATAAAACCAATCAAAAGAACTTGTTTGTTGGTCGCACCATAGTAAAAAAAAAAAAAAACATTCTGGGGCCACCTTTGAAAAAGTCCACATCAATACACTAAAGAAACTTCATAAAATATCATTCCTACAATGCAGTTTAAAATGCACTCATTTCAAAAAATACTCTGTTTAGGAAAAGGGGACATCGACGTTAGACCATGCGTTATGTGTTGAGTTCAAAATATCTCCATGCAACGTTCTCTGCTATTTCAGAAAAATGTGGCAACGACGTGTTTCCGAGAGCTGAAAAGTGTTTCGAGATACGCGAGCTGTTCTATTTCGGACGTGTCGCATTATTCACTGACCACTTAACGCTATCACAGAGCCTTCAGGTACAATTTATTGTGCGTGTCCCACTCCCGGAGTCTGAAGTTACCTTTCAGCAGAACAGGGCGCATATCGCACAAGATATGATATTGCATCAATACTTTTATGTGGCCATCGTGCACGCTAGGAAGCTTTTCTTGAATACCTTTTTTTTTATAAACCAGAAACCACGCTCCTGCAGCAAGTGAAGGTGTTTGATCATTTCTCATAAGTGTTCGATTACACGGAACCACCGAGCTAAAATTACGCGGCTTATTACCAGATCCTCAAAGATGCATAAGCTAAACGACAATTTTCTCGACAGTTTTTCAATACTATCAAAAGGAAAGGAACTTCCATTCCTGGACGCCCTCACGACTGCGATTGCCTCGGTGTAATTACGTGTATGCATTTTTGATCCGGTATCAAATAAAACACCACAGAAAGTTAGCGCTTGGGTCGGTTGCTTCTCGTCACTTCCGGTCGCCTGAATTTCGCACTTAATACAGAATATTACTTGCCTGTATTCTAATTCTCTTATTTGTTTACCTACGTCGACAACACGCAAAGAATTTTTTTGTTATATGGGAACTTACTCTTTCATTTAAACTGTAATTTTTTTCTGGGGTATTACGTCTTCATAGCAATATACGATACTAAGGGACGACGCAGCATAGGAATCTGAGAATTTCGATCACCTGTTGTTCTTGAACGTGTACTGATATTACACCGTGCGCGAGTGTTTGGCACTTCGCCACTGTCGAAATGCGATAACCATGCCCAGAATCGAACCCGCTGACCTTCTGGCCAGCTGTAGAGCACCACAACTTCTGTTATGATGATGATGAAGATGATGATTATGTGTGGGGTTTAACTTCCCAACCACCTCGTTATTATGAGAGACGCCGTATATTGGAGGGCTCCGGAGATTTCGACTACCTGGGGTTCTTTGACTTGCACTCAAATCTGAGCACACCACGGGCCTACAGCATTTTCGAACTACTTTTATACCACGAAAGACTTTCAAGTATCCAGCTTTCTTGTTTCCGTTTCATCTTGAGGGGGGAGGGGGGTCACAGGTAAGCTATGTGGGAGGCTGCACAGGGAAGAACTCAAAAATAGTAATGGCAATAGAACTGCAGTAGTACACAATGGTTGTCCTGCACCTGCAACTTGTTTGCATCTACGCTTGTCATTAGGTATAGAGCAACTTGTCGAAACACGTGTCCTACCTATATTATAGAGTACTCGCTGCTTAGGTGCACAAGAACATTCGCATGACCCACGTGTGGCACGAAACGTGCATAAAATCATTTAAGCGCAATTGATTCCACTCGATGCGTACAAGACAAGCCACGTGGAGTGAGAGGAGTTTGAACGATCGCGTCCTTCGTTATAAGAGAAGCCGTGTATGGCCTTACCCGGCAGCCTTGCTGAAGAAGGCGATCCTGTGATTGCTTTTCCTAGACCCATGGCTCCGCCAGTGACCAGGGCCACTTTTCCGCTGAAATTCATCGCTCATGGCTGAACTATCTCAGACGTACTTGCCACTGCAACAGCGGTCAGTCTTCGCTGTCGACGGAAAACGTGAGCCGTGTTGTCCCACTTTTAGCAACGCTGCGTTTTATCGCGCACTTGGTATAGCGGGTGCTCAAGGGAGGCTCCGGCGGGGGAGGCCAGCGAGGGAAAAGATATCGTTCGCAGCTGATAATAGGCGCGTCTAGGCTCTTGAAAGCCTTTGACTTGAGGAAGTGGCCAAGGCTTCATTGCCACGGCCTATTCGTGTATTTCGTAATTCCTACTACTTTGCCTGAAAAAGAAAAAAAAAATCTTCGACATGATCACCAATGAATACTCGACAGTTGATAGTGCGGCTTCTTTCTGCAGTTTGTACGTCCCAGAGAAGTTATGCAAGATGTTCGTATGTGGTACTTCGTACTTTCATTTCTATATTATTTAGAGCAAGTGGAACCGATAAGTAAAATTTCAATGGACCTGAATATTCTGACAATGGCTCATTAGAGCAGTAATGTTAGGGTGGGTGACAAAAGAACACTACGGAAGGCACAAAGCGTCTAGAATCAGTGCAATTGACTAAATAAGTCCACCGTGTCACACAAGAAAGTAAATAGAGGTAGCCAACCGAGATATCAATAGCTTGACGTAAACTGAGGGTGCAGTAAAATCGTCAATAGGGAGAGCTTCCCCTTTCAATTTACTTTGATTTGAGATACTGTAGTAAATAGATAAGACGAAGTCCATAGATATTGCGCTGCTGTAGTATTTGTAAACCCAACTCAACGACTATGCTGTTATTGTGGTTTAACGTTCCAAACCCACCATTTGATAATGAGAGACGCCCTAGTGGAGAACTCCGGAAATTTCCACCACCTGAGGTTCTTTAACGTGCACCTAGATCTAAGCACACGGGTCTAAAGAATTTTCGCCTCCATTGGAAATGTGGTCGCCATGGTCAGGATTCGGCCTCGCGACCTGTGGGCTGAACGGATAGTAGTCATTGTTGAGAAACATAAGCGAATTCGGCTTCGACATTTATAAACCGATTGCTATGACAACGAGCCTTCTTGTCCAATTGTCATCTTACTCTTGGAGAAAGTTCACTGTGCCAAAGGAATATGTCGCTGCTATTGCTGCATGTTTGCAATGAGGGGAACCAAGGAAATGAACTGTCAAGTTATAAATGGACTTCGGCAATAACGTTGAAATGTGTTCGCAGGAAATTACTCAGGTCTGCGAAGCCAATATATTTCATGAGCTGTAAATGATTATTTCAAGCTTGTTTAGAGCTGCACAGATAGATGCATTTCAATTTGAACAGAAAGTAGTTAAAAATGTAGCGTGCAGTTTGACAGAAGTTCAGAGTCATGTCGTATTTATAAATGCTTACTTACGGGGCGAAAGCACAAACACCAGTACGCCATGAACATGTTTGAACTGAGAGCATGAGAACAAAGCTTGAAATAGTACTGAGCAATGAAGTCATCCTATGAGGTGATAAATCCATACAGTGGCGAAGCAGTTAGATAAATATTACTATATAAAAAGGCAGCAGGGTACAAATCACGCTGAAAATTGCTGTGCGATTCGCTTCGAAAGGTCGCAGTTACTTTATGCACTAGGGATAGAGCACATCCTGAGATATTTATAGATCTGAAGATAATGTCCAACTTAATAAACTGATGCACACATCCGTTTCTTCATTACCTAATTTGAGACTTCGAGCGCTTATAAACTAACAGCGCATCTGGTGCGTGCTCTTTTGGGGAATGGAGTAGAGCTAGTTCAAAGGGAGCTTTGTGGTGATAATGTAAGCACATTGACGCCGTCGGTCAGATGCGAAATCTAGCGTCAAGAGAGAGAAGCTTTTTTTTTTTTTTGAGCAACCTCCTTTTATTATTGGTGCAACAAAGTAAAAGGCCCCGACGCGGCGGTCTAGTGACTAAGGTACTCGGCTGCTGACCCGCAGGTCGCGGGATCGAATCCCGGCTGCGGCGGCTGCATTCCTGATGGAGGCGGAAATGTTGTAGGCCCGTGTGCTCGGATTTGGGTGCATGTTAAAGAACCCCAGGTGGTCGGAATTTCCGGAGCCCTCCACTACGGCGTCTCTCATAATCATATGGTGGTTTTTGGACGTTAAACCCCACATATCCATCAATCAACAAAGCAAAAGAAAGAGAAGAGAAAGGGGGCGGGGAAGGTAGAAGGAGGATGAACGCTCGCTTATTTACGGCTTGAGAATGTCAACAGCGATGAATCGATCTATTCTCGTGCGAACAATTTGACACCAGCGTAATGCTGGACGGGTGATGAAACAGCGAAAACTAAATATAAAAAAAAGAAGCAGAAGGCTCCGAAGGCGGATTCAGCACGAAAGCAGGAGACACGCTGAAGGCGCTACTTTTATTAAAAGTGCCGCTGGTACTGCGCAAGAAGAATGTTATGGTGACCAAAATAAAGGTGCAAGGTTAGAACACTTTGGAAGCCTTAAAACAAGATCAAATTATATTAGCCTGGTGATTTACTCCTACACGCGAAAATAAGAAACCGATCGCTGACGATTGCCAGGTACAGAGAGAATCACACTTGCTTATAGCCGTAGATCACGTGGCTATGAACACTGTTTTTCGCAGCTGCTAGCTCGTGTTAGCTGCAAGCTTACATACGTGCTTGATTATAGCACAAAATTCTAGCATGCAGTAGGATTATGTTAGGTATCATTACGGTGGCGGTCTCTGCATATTGGTGCAAACATCGCAGCTGAAGCGGTGGGCTGGGTCCTCTAGACAAGCTTGATTCCATGTGTATCGGCAGACTTGAGCAATATATTGAACAGCTTGAGTCCAAAACAAGGTAGCATTTAATGTCGGTGACAAGCAAGTATATAGGCGATACTTCGATCTACTTGACACCAGTTCAGTGCACGCATGATTGTTAAGATAATGATCGCACAGTGTACACATCTCCAGGTAAACAGCATATCAGGCGGTGCGCGCACTTCAGGGTTTCTGATCAACTTGCGCATCCTATGATACATGCTTACATCAGACCGATATTCGGCGCTATCATGCCCTGGGGTGAATGCTTATGTGATGCAGATACCTACCATGCATGTGGACAACGTTTCTTGGTAATGAAGGTAAGGCTACGCAGACAAAGTGTGGTGTGTGCCAGCACTGAAGTGCCATAAATATTATGAAAAAAAATCTCTTTCTATGGTATGCTTTCTTTAAATAGACGCAGCATGCACCAACGACGTATTCACGTTTTTCTCTTTACTTTGTACACAGTCATTGCGAGATTGTGCACGCATGAAAACATCCCACATTTAAGTTCACCCTCCATACGTGCGCCTCGCAGTCGAAATGATGTCTTCGTCTTTAGGTGGCTGCTCACCGCTTTCTAGCTATTTAGACGACTGTCTGAAGGAGCTTGTGACGAATTTCACGCACAGATGGCTCTGTACGCAGACGTGGCAAATCGTGTGCAGTAGTATTATTCGAACACGGCCATCATCCGACACGCGATCCGAACCGGACTACTTCGCGGAGTAGTACTTGTGCAGGAGCTACGCCCCTTGGTTCACGTTTTATTGCCGAAAAAAAGTGGTCCGCAAGTATAGAGCTCCCCTCTTAGGCACACTATGCAGTCACGGCAACCCTGCGGCATCGCGACGGCCATTACCGCCTCATAATCAAAATAACGGGATGAAATAGAGGGCGGGAGGAGCGGAAGGTAACATAATAAATCGTAACATTCGCTCACACAGAGGCACCAAGGAAATGTTTGCTTTTTCTTCCCTTCCTGTGCTTCTCTCTGTCGCTGATTTAAAATGGATTGAGAACGAGAACCTTGCCCGATAGTTTTCGTTCTTTAACCTATGTGATTCTTCCAACAAGAGAGTAGGTTTTCCCATAAAAAAAAACAGCAGCAACAACAAAAATCAGTGACATAAAAATCTGGTACATGCTGATGACCTCCACTCAGAACCCTTTGAAGTACAATAGTCGATGAACCGTTTTGATTGGAGGCAATCGCTAAAAGGCTCTGTTTAAAAGAAATGCTACCTTCAGTAGCAGCTTGCTAAAGGTTAAAAGCATCAAGAATATTTACTAAGCATTTCCAACAAAATGAATTGAACATCTTCAGAGTTGTTAGAAGGCCTCTATATTGCAACGCCTCTTATACGGTTGCACTGACAACTGTCGTGCCAAGACGCATCAGCTGCCACGCTCATGAGTGACTTGCTTCTCACTGATAGAACGACAAATATTTAATGACTTACCACTAACGGTGCCAACTTTTCGAGATCCTGCAAGTCCGGGACACAGAGCTCTGCCTCGGTGTCATTACTGGACACCTCAAAGGGGCTTCCAGGCCACCTCCGGAAAAGGGTATTCCCTCGATTTGTATGTTGCGCCACCGTCGTTGGCTAAAATGCCCCCTTGAATATTTATCCTAGGTGCCGATGAACGGTTTTCGCCATGTGGTCAAGTTGTTTCGGCTTTGCAGCAGCCGACTGATTTAATATGTTCAGAACTGATTCATATTTCATCAGATAAAGCTGAGTGACATCTCAGCATCGGCATGTTTTCATAATTCTGACGTACAGATATTTTCATTTTAATTCAATGCAGTCATTTCTGCGAGTAATGAGATTCCTTGGTATTTTTTCTAATGCTGGATACCTGACTTTTCCGCATCATTTTTTTGAGCAAACCACTGAGCGCTGATGAGTGCGAAAGACGGTGCTGATTTTATTGCAAAGAAGCCGTTTACTGTGCACTCAAGGCTTGTTGGTTCCCCTTCGTTGATGCCGCTTACCATATTTCATACGATGATTTCAGCCTTCGTCAGACATTCTTGAGGTGTCAAGGTTTTGATACCTCGAAAGCTGAAAATTTTGTTGGGATCCTGAGCACAAGAGTATAGCACCGACACCAACCATGTTGGCTTGCATACCTATTGTTTTATTTATTATATTTTCGTATATACGTGGGCGATAAAGTTGTTATTTGTTGATGTTTGTCAGTATCAGTTCAATTAAGCGATCTTTCAAACAATGTAACGAAAGCCCAAACAGCCCATAACTGAATTTGCACAAAACCATAGCAATAAATTGACCATGAAGA